AAATCCAAACGTCCATATTCTCGATGCGTATCAACGGGGCAGCCGAGCTTCGGAACTTCCACGTTTCCTCTCTCTACAGAAACATGCTTGACGATCGAATAGAGATATCTAGGGCTAGACGAGCGCCGTGGTTCGGCGAAATTCGAAAATCACGCGCGTCTGCATTCACAGCACGTAGTTATCAGTTGGCGGTCGGTGTCGCGGTGAACAAACGGGTTCTTCGAATCGCTCGAGATCCTTATTTCCACTCCGGTTCTTCTCTGGCGCTACGTCTCCGCGAGAGAAACGGGCCTAGCTTCATGATCGCCGCTCGTCGACCCGACTGACCTCGTCCGAAGCTTCCCTCCTTGTGGAAACCGCTCCAAACCACTCGGCTCTGACCGATCTTCGTTGGAGAAACCAAGCGCGCGTTGGTAACGAAAGTGATCGTATGGCATTCTGCTGATTATTTCCACCGGCTTCGTTTCCAAGGCCAACAGCAGTGTTAATTTAAATTCCCTGCTCCTCGAGACGAGGAACGCGATTTAAATTTCTTTCTTTCTTTTTTTTTTTTTTTTGCCAAAGTAGTTCGAGAACGACGAGGAAATTAATAAATCAAGCTCGCATACGTACAGTGAAACACTGCTCGAGACTGGGAAGGAAGACTTTCATGGTCGAAGTAGCAAGCGAACATTCTTTAAGGCGAAAACACGCTCGGATCGCGATCGAGATTGCACACTCGCTGACGAGGGAACAAGGTGAATCGGGAACAGGTGCGAACGCGTATTCCGGGACGCGAGAAGGCGATCCAGGTGCAAGTTTCGACTAGAACCAGCGAAGAATTCGAGCCAGCGAGGGGTCAATCGGGCAGCAAGTCCCCCCTCGAGATTGCCGTAGAGGCAACGGTTTATTAAGATCCATTGGGGATCCATCGTTGGATTAAGGAACACCGGTCCACGTGGCCTTCCTTCTGCCTCGCCTCCGCTCAATTAAATTCTACTTCAGCCGGATCGTTTCATAAATCACCATGGCCGTTCCGAGCACGCGCGCGAAACTTAAACAAACGATCTCGTGCACTTTCTTCACGCGGTTTTGCAGGATCTGGATTACAGGTGAATTTGACACCTTTGATTTGACGGAAATACATAAAATTCAAATATATGTATATATAAATAAATAAATTCGTAATATATATTCATAATGTATATATAAATAAAAAAATTCATAATATATTCAAATATCAAAAAAATACTTAAAATTCAAGATCAAAAATTTTCTTTTTTTTTTTTTTTGCATCGTATTCTACTTATCAGGAAGGTAAAACTTGTCCAAGGAACCTAATAGTTCTCTTGAAAAATGGTAAAAAGTTTCTTAATCATTTAGTGTACGTTCTAACAGCGACTTTATGATTCTGGGCGCGTGGATGTCTGTATTTTGAATAATGTTAACGGTTAGTTTTAACATTTGATTATTTAGACTCGCATTGATGCTGCAACCATGATGAATCAAGTGCCAGTGAAACCTAATACGAAATTTACGTAAAAGAGACATCTATGCTTCCAGAATCATAAAGTCGCTGTTAGAACGCACGTATCCGCAGTGTTAACTTTTTTTGTCATTTTCCGGCTCGTCGGAGAAGTTTTCGGTTCTTCGTGATAAGTAGAATACAATGCAAAAATAAAAAAAAAAATGTTAACCTTGAAATTCAAGGACAAAATCAATTTTGCGACAAGATCTTTATCAAATTGAACAAACATTTCAATCCACCCTGTACAGACTTGTTGATCACTAGCCGCAAGAAATATTTACTTAGGCATCTGCAGAAAATTTGAAATACATACAGTGATACGAGAATTGTATGTAATACATTGGATATACGGTGCAACAATAAAAATCATGATGACTACCAGACAACGATCAGGTCGAATCGACTGCGATTCGAGAAATTACCGAGAGCTGACGCTCGATAAAGTACATATCTGTCCTCGACGTGGCGAAATGCTCGGCCACCGATTCAATCTAACTATTTAATAACACAGGCAGCTCCGGCGAGCTCCACCTGGCGGCCAGGCATGCCGCGTCAAAGTCTTTATTAGACCCAATTGAACGTTATTGCTTCTCGGGCCCGCGTAACGGAGATCGGTACGGAAGAACGAGAAGAGGCAGCGAGAGAGAGAAAGAGAGAGAGGTAGATGGGTCGACGACAGCGACGAAAGAACGAAAGAATGGAAAGGAAACAGAAAGAGAGAAAGGAGAATATTCTTCCATCGCAACGTGAACATGGTTGCAGAGGTGGAGAGAGACAGCGACGAGAGACAGGTGATGAAAGGTACGAGTACACGTTCCTAGGTACGGAGGGTTTAATCCAGCGGGATCGAAACGGGATGCGCGTACACGCCGATGCATACACGCGGCGCGTTAACTTCGCCTATACGCGTGGAAAGGTTCTCTACAGCCAGAGGAAGATTAACAACGTTAAACGGAATTATTGGGTAGCGGCCGCGATTAACCCCTCTGCCGATATTTATTAGCCGTCTAAAGCTCGATTATTCCTATCCCAGCTACGAGCTGCTTCGCCTCGTCCGTGTTAACCAGATACCGTTCAATTAAGGGTGCGCGCCGGCATTAACGTCCCTCTCTTTTTCTTCTCGTTTCGCCTTCTTGTTCCACGGAGGCGAATATTCCGGCGACTCGGCATCCTCGCTTCTGCGATTACCTACCGGCAACCTGCCAGGAGATTGAGCTTTCGACGAAGCATCGAGAACACCGGAAGGGGTAGCGACGATTATATCGTTTGCAACGTATCGTAGGAAAATTACATTGTTAAGGTGCTCTCGTGCATGAGGTATCGGTTCTGCAAGTTGCAACAGAGAGAGAGAGAGAGAGAGAGAGAGAGAGAGAAATAAAGACGTCGGGCAACCGGGCGCGATTTCGTCCGGCCGACAAAGTCCGGTCTGTCTCGACGCGAGGACTCTTCCTCACGAAGAAGGGAAACAAAAAGACGAGAGGCGTACGTGTACGCGGCACACTCGCAGCCACCGGCGTCGAGCTGATATAATTCAATATAATGTAGGGCCCAGCGACATTATCTGCTCTCGTGCAGTCAGCCCGACTCGGGCCCCGATTAATCTCGACTCGATGTCAACAAAGCGCGGATTTATGTTCTCCGCGCCGCCCGGCGACTCCAGTTACCTCCGCTGGGAACCAGTTTTTGGCGAGCTCGTTTCTTTTCCGCGACCGCCTCGTTTTTCTCTTTTCCTTTCCACCCCGTGCTTCTCTGTCCTTTCCCTACCCTCCTTCTCCTTCGCCTCTTTCTACCGAGAAATCCCCTCGTCGTTATCCTCCATCTTTCTTCCGCGATATCTGCCTTCTTCACCTCTTTTTTCGAATCATGACCCCTCCGTGCACTTTTGGCGATCGTCGAATTCTAGGCTTTGGAGGTTAACTCTGCTTTATTTGCGCCATCTTTGTGTCTCGTTTAAGGGGTCGGGACAGTTTGAAATTTTCAAGAAATAGATTTTTTTTTTTTTTCTTTTGTTTCAAATAGTAGTTTGAAGTCGTAGACATAAGATAAACAAAAGCCTTTGAAACGACTTATTTCAGGGTATAATAATAAATCCGCGGACACAGAATAATTGAGTTTTGTATCATTTTAAACAGTATTATTCAAATATTACTTTTGGTGAATATTCGGGGATTTGGATTCAATTTAGTTGTGAAAGCCGAAAGTTCGATTTCACGGGTATCTGGTTTCGGAAATTCCGAATTTTTCGACGCGGATCGACCAATCAAAAGGGAACCTGGTGTGATCTCTGAATAGATGCAACGTCGAATTACGGACAAAATTGGTAATGGGCCGTGGGATCGATGAATCCTCGTTGCCCGACGTCATTACGAACTCCATGTTCGAGCGTCCGTGTAATCGGTAATTACGGCAAAGGCGGACGACATTACCGCGATGCCCCCGTGCGCCCATCAGCACGCACGTTTCGTTCACAAAAATATTTTTCAGATCGACGTCTCTTTTTTTCTCTTTTCGTGAATTTCTCGCGTTACGTAAAACATTTTTTTTTTTTTTACCAGACATGGACATTTAATTCGAACAGCGTACTTGAATTTTTCGGTTAATTCAAAGCATCCAAATGTATAACACTTATACAAATCTCGATGTGTTTCCTTTACATTTAAATTTCGTCTTAAAATTAAGACAAAATTAATATAAATTTTACAAAATAAAATTGATATAAATTAATACAAAATTCTGTAAAATATTTTTACTAAAAACGAATATTTAATTCGAACAGCATCACCGTACTTGAATTTTCTACAATTTGGATCATCAAAGTGTATCCGAATCTCGATGTGTTTTGTTTACATTTAAATTTCACCAAAATTAACACCAAAAGATTATTATACGTCAAATATAGGGATTTCTGCTCTTATCGTAATTTGTACCGCATCATGTACATTATCATACGTTTCTGCAATTATAGTTGAAATAAACAAAGTGTATACGTAGATAGTGTATAAGATCACTGTTGCGATCGAAGTTGCCTGAGTTCGGTTCATTCTTTGACTGTACACGGCAACTACGTTCCCCAAACTGTAATAACCGTTTCGCGTTGAAATCACCGAAATCATCGGCCATTTTCGTCAGCCGAGTTTCGCAAGCGAAAAATCGTGCTCGGCGAAATGTGGCACACGCGCAGCACACGCGAGACGTTGAAAACCAAAGGCGAGAACCGCAGCGGCCGGATAATAACGATCTGTCGAATCGGTGATGAAAAATTTATGTTAAGTACTGGAACGATACGCGTGAAGCAAAGACGAAAGTGTACGAAGGAATAAAAGAAGAGAGACAGCGGCGTGAAATTGAGTCTGGTCCGTCACGGTGTTTATCGAAAAGGCTGACGGGCGTGGCGTGGCGTGGCGCCCGATTTAAAGTTTCAAAGAGGATAGTATGTAAAGTGCATGAAACGCAAACGGTAGGGGGAAACGGTTAACGATGTCGTTCGACTTACTTGTACGATCCGTGAATGTTCTTGCAGGAGCCGTGTCTGCACGGGTTCCTGTCGCATTCGTCGATGTCGTCCGCGCAATTCGGCCCCGTAAAGCCGGGTGCACACGTGCACTTGTAGCTGTCCTCCAGCGAGAGACACTCGGCTCCGTTTCGACAAGGCGACGAGGCGCAGTGGTCTTGTCGTTCGCAGTGCTCGCCTGCAACACACGCACACACACGGAAAAAGAATGAAATGGTACGCCACCAACTTGTTGCACGCGAACGGTGAAAACGCTCGGCCATGTTGAATTTGAATCGTCAAGAAATCGTCTTGCACCGTGGCCGGTTTCTTTGACGGCAAACAACGCGCAACAAATACTGTATTTTCATAAAAATTTGTTCAACTCGTACAATTTGTTTCGGGCAAACTATTTAAATTTTAATATTCTTAGTATTTATATTAATATTTTTACTCATAATACTTACTTTTAATACTTTTAATATATATTTCTGAATATTTAAATTATAAATATTTAATTATTTAATTATTTAAGCTTGATTATTGGACGAAATAATTGTTATACAACTGTGCAAGTAGAGTAGAGAACTTTCAATATTTCCCGATATTTTTTAAAATATTTATTCCGTCATTTATGTGCATATTGGCTTCATTATTGGATGAGAAGTGACAGACGTATAGTTGCACAACTTTCAATATTTTTAAATATTCATTGTGTCATTTGATCATTGGTTATATTAGTTTGATTATTGGACGAAATATACAGTTACACAAACTATACAAGCAAAATAGAGAACTTTCAATATTTTCCGATATTTTCTTAAACATTTATTCCGTCATTTATGTGCACATTATTATGGGTTTCATTATTGGATGATAAGTAACAGACATATAGTTACACAACTAAAGTAGAGTACTTTCAATATTTTTAGATATTTTTCTAAATATTTATTCCGTTGTTTATGTACATATTATTATCCAGTTTGATTATTGGACGAAAAATAACAGACTAAACTACTCTACTAGTTTAATACGATTGCATATTTCGAAAATGTTTCATCCAAGTGGAAATCCTAGTTTTGAATTTAGTCAAGCAAGATGCATAAATAACAAAAATTCTCGGCAGCTGTTGTTGAAAAGATTGCGAGACGAGTAAAAGGGGAACGAAAGGAAGAAAGAAGGTACCACCGTGTACTTTGAACAGCGTATGCAAACAGAAACAGAAATCGTTCGTGGTTTCATGCTGGTTTGTGTCCATTTTCGAGAAGAGAGATACCTCAGATGGCGATTACGCTCTAGCTGGCCAAGTCCCATTTCTCTCTTCTCGATTAGTGCAACTAATTAGCAGAGTCCCTGCTCGTTCCTCTGAATCTAAGACGTACCCGCTAGGAATAGCCAGTGGTTCTTCGATTTCCGATCAAAATCGAACAAGACGCCATCGTTAAGCAAAAAAAAAAGAGCGTCAAGGTGGAAATTTGTGTGTTTCTAGACGATGATCGTTCGCCTCGAACTGCCTCGAATCTTTTAAAATAATTCTAAATTCCTCCAAGTGTTCGCTGTTAATATAATTCTAATAATTTTAAAATAATATTATGCGCACTTTTTCCGAGGTTCACGTTGAAATGACCTGCCACGTACGTCGAGAATTCTTTGTCCCATTCAAATTGCAACATTCTCTCAGTTTTATATTTATTTATATTTTCATATTTTTTATATTTATTCTTTACTTTACATTTAAATGTAACCCAAAACAAACGATAAGTTGATTACTTCTTAACGATTTCTATCCAGCGATATCGTACCGACGAGTATCAAAAGAAAGAGAAAGCGACGATTTTATTGTATACGGCTCGGTCACTCGTTATGGTCCGCGAACCAGTTGCCAGCGCAAGGGGGTAAGGAATCTCTCGAAGCGTTGACCAATTCTGCAAACTACCGATCGCTAACTTCGCTCGTCCTTCGGTAAGAAAGACAGGTATCGATAAAAAGGGAGAAAACGGCACAGCTCGAGTAGCTGAAACGTGAGAACCACTGGCGCAAAGGTACCGCCACGGCGAAATGCCGTATTGCTCTCCGCTAATTATCCGGCTGGCACAAACTTCTCCTTTTCTTCCTTCGTCTCCTCTTCCATTTCGTTCACCGCTCTCCCTGCCCACTCTCCTCTCTCGCTGAATTTATTTGTCAAGAGAGCACGTGCCCTCGCGTAAACAGTCGGCCCGTATAAAACAAAAAAAAAAAAAAAAAAAAAAAACAAACCCGGTTCGGTTTCTGCGCCGAAACTTCCGCGATCCGAACAAATTCGCCGAGCCGAAAGTCGAAATTCTTTGGTCGCGAGTCGAAGGAGAGGAGAGGAAGCGACAAGCTGAAACGAGTGGCTGCCTTCGAGCCACGTCGATTACCGCGTCGTGCCGCGGGTTATCTCCTCTAATTGATCGATTTATAGTCGACGTTGCTGCCGCGCGATTCAGCGCTGCGCCCGCGCGTTCCGTTTTTCTATCATCGGCCTCGCGTCTCTCCCGACGACGCGATGCGAAATCGCGCGAACGTCGCCAACACGGCTCGCACCCCGAGCTTTCCGTGCTATTAACGAGCGAGAGACAATGCAAACCGGCGCGTGATCACGATCGTTTCATTCATCGTTCAACCTTGCGAGCTCGCGATCAGCCCACGTGAACCACGAGAGGCCGCTCCCGGTAACAGAGGCCCTGATTCTTCACGGACGTGTTTTTAATATCGCGCCTTTACACTCGTAGTCTGATATTTTTTTTCCTTCTTTTTTTTTTTTGCTACGTAATTATAGTTCACCTGGTTCACCGTGTAACATAAAATCTATGATTTATTGATTATCTATGAATGTACAACGTGCTCTGATCAGTTGCGCTGGCAACTGAATTGCGGACCGTAACGAGTGACCGGACTGTATACAATAACTGGTCGCTTTCTTTTTGAACTCGTTAGTAATAAATTGATTATTCGTTTCGCTGAAATATACTGAAAAACTGAGGAAATATTACAATTTTGGAGCAAAAAGTTCTCGACGTTTATTTATTTGAAACCCACGTCAACTTGAAATTATCGAAATTCAAACGTACGATATTTATTCGAATCCCGTGTAACCGAAGCACAGTAATTGCCTGTAATAAAAACGTGGACGAGTCATTTCTCTAAAAGGATATTCTTTTTGCGAGGAATTTTGCGCAGCTCGGAAATACACTTAAAATACTCGAAGTTGAAGATGTTGAATCAGTCATGAAACATAGAGGGACAAATCTGTATGTTAAATCTGCGTCTGTCTTTACCTGTCTCGCGTGCTGAAAACTTGGCAGAAAGCGTTCAAGCAATAATCGTTCGTGATGGCAATAAACACGCTGTTAATCGACTTGAGTAACATTTCAAGTGTACTTTCCATCTGTGCAAAATTCTTGAGTATATCTTTTTTTTTTCTCAGAGAAATAACATTCACGCTCTTATCGGCGAGTGTTTCGCGTCGTAAAGCTGTCGAAAAAAAAAAAAAAAAAAAAAAATACCGCGACAAACAAACGACTCAATTACGCATGCGATTCTTCTCCTTCGATAAATATCTGGCGGTCCGCTACGCAATCGGATATCACGCCGTCCTTTTATTTCAGGCCTGAAATGAAAGAGCTTTCTTTATCGAGAATTCGTATCTGTCGAGTTTTAAACGTATATCTGCTCGAACGGTTAAACCGTTCGACGATCCGGCTCTATCGACGCGTGGCCTCTCAACGCACAGTTTTACGCGCAGAGTGAAATCGCCAACGAAATCCTTACCTGTGTATCCAGTGGCGCAGGTGCAAACGTATTCACGGAGCGATTTCAGATTGCACGTGGCACCGTTCAGACACGGCGATGAGTCGCATGCGTTCTCGATGGGTATCTCGCAGAGGCTGGCGGTAAATCCGACAGGGCAGGAACAGGCGAACGAAGGTGTGCCACCGCCGCTACTTTCCTTCACCCTGCACGAGCCGCCGTTCTGGCACCGTGGCCCCGTGTGACACGGGTTCAGATGTTGGCAGTACTCCCCCACGTACTTCGACGTGCATCTGCAACAGCGTGAAAATCAGCATCAGTTTAGAGAGAGACGTGGAAATTTCTTTTTATCTCGTTGCTTCTTATTTATTTACTCGTTTATTTTTCTCTCCAGGTTGAGGCAGCTTTTCCAATTTTCGATGATTTCTCATCGAAAATGAATAAAATGAAAATGAAGACAATGTGGATCGATTTTTAGATATTTTTCAATTTTTCCAAAGATTTCTATTTCTTAAATTTTTCAAGATGAACAGGACGAAGGAAGATAAATTAATTTTTAGATTTTTTCAATTTTTTAAAAATTTCTTCGAGAATCTTCGAGAATGAATAAAATGGACAAAGACAGTTTGAACTGATCTTCAGATTCTTCCAATTTTTAAACTTTTCTAATCAAATATTAAAAAATGGACGAAGCAAAGAAAGTCAATTCCAACTGATTTTTAAACATTTCTACCAATGTTTAAATACTCTTAATCAAGTTTTCAAAAATGAACGAGACAAAGAAAGTCAATTCCAACTGATTTTTAAACATTTCTACCAATGTTTAAATACTCCTGATCAAGTTTTCAAAAATGAACGAAACAAAGAAAGTCAATTCCAACTGATTTTTAAACATTTCTACCAATGTTTAAACACTCCTGATCAAGTTTTCAAAAATGAACGAAACAAAGAAAGTCAATTCCAACTAATTTTTAAACATTTCCACCAATTTTTAAACACTCCTGATCAAGTTTTCAAAAATAAACGAGACAAAGAAAGTCAATTCCAACTGATTTTTAAACATTTCTACCAATGTTTAAACACTCCTGATCAAGTTTTCAAAAATGAATGAAACAAAGAAAGTCAATTCCAACTAATTTTTAAACATTTCCACCAATTTTTAAACACTCCTGATCAAGTTTTCAAAAATAAACGAGACAAAGAAAGTCAATTCCAACTGATTTTTAAACATTTCTACCAATTTTTAAACACTTCTAATCAAGTATTCAAAAATGAACGAGACAAACAAAGGCAATACCGAATTGATGTTTAAATTTTCCCAATTTTTTAGACACGTCCAATCAAATCTTGGGAGATGAAACAGGACAAACAAGGACAACACGGTTCGAACGCCTTCTCGGACGAGCTTTCGGCCTTCTTTTCCATTCTTTCGTCGGGCGAGAAGATGACCGGAAAGAAAGTGCTGGAGGTACGTACGTAGTTCCCGAGGATCGGAAACTTTCCACCGAGGGTCATTGGCTGCGACGCGATCGAAAATGGCAAGTCGCCTTTATAAAGGAACGCCTTTCTTCCCGCCGATTTCCAACGATCGTCGGTTCGAGACCTCGCATTGTGCCGCGATCCCTGACGGATCAGGCCTGGGTTTCTCGAGAAGCCGCCGATAGAAAGAACCGCGAGACGTGTCTTTTTAAGGGTAACTAGCGCCTCCTTTGGTCGCTGCGTGATCGCTGAAGAATTCCTCTTGCCGACCGGCTTATTTCTACACCTGGTCGTCCAACTGCTAGGCAGCAGTATTCGATCGAATCGAATATTCCCTCGGTATTATATTTTCTAAGGACACTCGACAAATTGGAGCGAATTACCGAGTGGAATGGGACTCGTTCACCTCGACTGCTGAATGTGACGGAATCGAGGCGAGTTTCTTTTCTTTTTTTTTTTTTTTCTTTTTGCGCGCGCGCCTGTTCGATCGATCTGGGAAGTCGCGCGTTATTCAAACGAGGTGAAACATATCCGTGTTATGTTGACTCATACGTCGATTTGCATACCGTTATACGAGCGGCTTTTTACGTTAACACCGTTGTCGATCCTTGCATCCTGCAGTTATAATAAATGATTCGTTGCACCGATGTCGTCGATTTTATTTTAACGTCGCGTTTCGTTGGGCATCTGTCAATAAAATCAGAATAATCGGAACGCTCTCACGTTGAACTACGCACAGCGACTCGCACACTTCTGTCACACTGCGTTTGTACTCTGTTCGTAAACTTTCGACACTCTCCCGGAAAGTTTGAACGGCATTGCGTCTTTCGATTTCGCGATCATTTGAGATTTGCCGACTAAAGCGAACGTGTGTCTACCGTTGATTCAATTCCGTGCATCAATCGATCAATTGCGTGTGTGTTACGAGTCGGTGTGAAAAATTCAGTCTCTGAGATTCTTTCGTAACATTGTTACGAACATTGTTTCCAAAGTTTCCTAGTAACCCTAACCTACACTCGTAAACATATTCTCAATTGTTTAGAAGTAATATTACAACTTACTTTACGAAAGTATCTCAAAATTTTACGAAAGAATCTCAAAAATAGCTGAATTTTTGACAAAGACAATTCGTAAGACACAGACAATTAATCAAGCGATGCATCGAATTTATTATAATCAACAGTACCCGTTTGCTTTAGTCGACTATGACTCTCAAACTAATAAATATTGCGAATAAATGGCGCAAAGTTTAGAACGTCTTCGAAAGAATATCAAAAGATACGAACGAGAATACAAGCGAGGCTGTAACGCAATATTCTCAGCAACATTTACAGCATTTCGTCAATAGTGCGACTTTCGAGGACATTTTCGCTTTGCGCGTAATAAATTGCAGCACCCCCAATTTTTATTTATGCCTGCAACGTTCAATTCTACCGTCAACAATCGGTTAGGCATATTCCCTTCGTTTCGTACAGAAAAATAATAAAAGTCCGTTTCGAAAGCCGCTCCGTTACCAAGAGAAGAGAGACATGCAAAGAATCGCCGAACGTGTAAAAATTTCATTTTTATCCAGAGTCGTCCCCGTATCTTGCACGAGCGATCAACGGAATTCTCAGCGAAACGAGGTTTCCCGGACTCGACCGCACGAATAAAAATCCGAGTAAACGACGATGATTGCCGCGAGCCGGCCAACCAATGAGACAGAGAGAGAGAGAGAGAGAGTTAAAGACAAGAACGCATCGTGCATTGTCGAGTGCACAGCTGGTTCCAAGTTGGTTCACGCAACCACTCTCGCGACTTCTTCTTCTTCTCCTCCTTCTGTCGGGGATATCGCGTATGCGAGCGCTTAGAAGCCTGCAGCCGGTATCTCTATAAACGGAAGCGACGATTCCACGGCCATTATTCGCCGGCAGCGAGTTTCTTCTCGGCTGCTACCGGTTCGACCCGATCCGGCCCAGCAGCCAACAGCAGCAAACCAACATTGAGCACCGCCGGTTGGATTTATTGACTTCTATCCGTGAATATTCCCTTCTAAGCCAGCCAGGGACGTAACGAGCCCACCGCCGATGCCACCGACTGGAAAAACCTCGTCTACCTCCTAGGGGACGTATCATTTTTGAGAGAACCCTGATGTCCTCTGCATCTTTCTTTCCCTTATGCCAGAAAGACGAGAGACTTGTCGAGCTTGCAGCGTGTCTGTCTTTGAGACTTTAACCCTTTGCGCTGGCGACTGATTGCGGACCATAACGAGCGACCGAGCCCTACACAATAATTTGTCGCTTTCTTTTTCTTTTGAAAAACTCGTAGGTTTGATATCACTGGACAGAAATTATTAAGAAGCAATAAACTTATCATTTTTGTTTTGCCTGGGTTATATTTAAATATGCTTATATATTTAATATATTTGTAAATATAAGTATATATTTAAATATACTTATATATTTAATATTTATAAGTATACATATATTTAAATATACTTGCATATTTAATATTTATAAATATAATTATATATTTAAATATACTTACATATTTAATATTTAATATTTATAGATATAAATATACATATATTGAAGCATACTTACATATTTAATATTTATAAATATAAATATACATATATTTAAATATACTTACATATTTAATATTTATAAATATAACTATATATTTAAACATACTTACATATTTATTATTTATAAATATAACTATATATTTAAATATACTTACATATTTAATATTTATAAATATAAATATAACTATATAACTATTTAAATATATTTACATGTTTAATATTTATAAATATAAGTATATATTTAAATATATTTGTATTTAAATAAACTGAGAAAATGTGGCAATTTGTCGGCAAAAAATTGTCGACGTGCGTGGCACATCAGTCGAGCGCAAGAGGTTAAACAATTTGGTTTGGAAGCGACGCTTCAGTTTTTATTTTTCACGTCGATCGATAAGATTCAGAAAATTTTTTATTGATATTATCAATGTGGTTTCATCGGAACGGCGTTTTACGTAACGTCGCGCAAAGTAGAATGTTCATATTCCACTCATCCAGCCGTGGTGCGATCGTGGTCGTCTCGCTATGATATCGTGTCAAGTACACTGTAATTATGCTATCGTGTACGCGTTGCTCTATGAAAACGGACGGTAATTTTATTAACGAATGTGGGACACGCGTCCCACGATTTAGCGAAAACACGCGTTCCCTTTCGCTCGAGAGCGAAGTAGACAAAGTGATATTCAATTCCAACAGTTTGATACAAATTCAGCTTACCTACTCGACAAACAAATGTTTCACCTTACGACTGAAGAGAACACGATACACACACTAGGACAATGATGGCGAACCTATGACCCGCGGGTCAAACACTGACCCACGCGTTGATTTTTATAAACTTATCATCATATATATAAAAGAATTTTAATTATTTTCCAAACCCCTCTTTTCGAAAAATGTTAAGAAAATTACAAGTGTTCGGTTAGAGTTTAAACATGAGAAATAAATGCATAATTGTGTTTTATGGAGGATTTACGACTTGGTTATGTAAACATATAAGTATTTTAAGTCTTGAATGTTATACGAGTTACTTGTGTCTAAAAAATTTTATATAGCGCTTACGATTAAACAGATGTGATAAACACTAAAAAACACACTAGATCCCATTCTCAGAATGGGTAGCTTTGCTAGTTTTTTATATAATAAAAGAGAAAAACAGACAATAAAAAATATTAAGAAATAAAGTATATATATCTGATGTATAGTGCAGGGGTGACTGGGCATGATGTCACCCCTTTCATATCAATTTTT